TTTAACAAAATTAAAGGAAGAACCTAGTAATTTGTTAGGTGATAAATCACGGAAAATGATTTAAAAGTCACATGATGTGACTTTTAAAATAAGAGCCAGAAGGTATTTAGATAATTCGGGTGCATTTTTCAAACAATGTGAAAAGTTTTTTTGATATTCAATGTAGTCACACACATTTGAACAAAATTCAGTGCTTGTTTCTATAAAACTAATAAAAAGGGAATTTATGCAAAACTCAGTTTCATTCTAACAATGACTAAATCCATTTAACACATAAAATAATTGAAGAAAATATACCACCATTTCATTAACAAATTTATTTTTTATTTAAAAAATAATTTAAATAAAAAAAATTTTTTATTTTTTATTTATTAAAGTTTTATTCTTAAATTTAGTAGGAGTCAACATTTACATAAATTATTTTGTTCTCTTTGTAAAGGTAATATAAAATTTAAAAGTTATTATCAATGTATATATACACTTTCTTCCCAAAAATACTTGTATGATGGGCAAGAAAGATCTATGAAGCAAGAAATGGAAATACAAGTTTTTAGAAAATAATATAAATTTTCTATTATTTTAAAGAAGAATTTATTCATTTATTTTTAAATACTTAATGTAGGTATTCAAGTTCACTGGGTCCTTTTAAAGAAAGAATGTCCTTCTAAATAATCAATATCTGGGTATTTTTAAATGTATAATGAAAGAATTATAGAAGCAATTTGTATTTGTTAGGGGGAATTATTTTTTAATTTTTAATTATGTGTGTGGTTCTGTGTGTGTCTGTGAGGGAGTGTGTCTGTGAGCGGTGTGTCTGTGTATGTCTGTGGGGGTGTGCCTGAGTAAGCCTGTAGGGGTGTGTCTGTGTATGTCTGTGAGGAAGTGTCTATGTGTATCGGTGGGGAAGGGGTGTCTGTGTAAGCCTGCAAGGGTGACTGTGTGTGTATGTGTGGGGGGGGGGGTGACTGTGTGTGTCTGTGAGGAAGTGTCTATGTGTGTCTGTGTGTGGGATGTTTGTGTATGTCTGTGAGGCTATGTCTGTGTGTGTGTGTGTGTATAGGTGTGTATAGGTGTGTATGTATGTCTGTGTGTGGGTGACTGTGTGTGTCTGTGTGGGGGTGTCTCTGTGTGTCTCTGTGTGTCCGTGTGGGGTGTCTATGTGTGTCTGTGAAGAAGTGTCTATGTGTGTCTGTGTGGGGGATGTTTGTGCATATCTGTGGGGGATGTTTGTATATGTCTGTGCGGTGTCTGTGTGTGTCTGTGTGGTGAGGGGTTCTGTGTCTGTCACTGGGAGGGGTGTCTGCAAATGTAGGTGCCAATGGAACTAGAGGTATCAGAGTCCCTAAAGCTGAGGTCAAAGGCTGCTTTGAGTCACCCCATATGGAGACTGGGACCCAAACTCCTGCCCTTTGCATGGCAGTAAACACTTGCCCACTGAGCCATCGTTCCAATTCCTTTAAGTATTTATTTAAACATGTATGATACAGTGCAAGAATTTGTAAAATTGTGTTGAGGGTACAGCCCACATATTCTCCTTGCAAAGAAATTAAGGTAAAACGAAACCAAGATGAAATAAACACGGACCACTCGGTGCAGATCAGATAAGCGCTGGTGCCTGTGCCCCGCCGCTGCCAAGAGAGCATTTCACAGCAGGCCTGTGCTCAACGTACTTGGAGTTCTTAATTAAAATGCATCTGTATTTCAGTCTCCTGCAGAGGAATGCTTCTGAAAAGACACATTAGTCACATGTCATTTATTTGTTGTATCCAAAATATCATTACCAGAGGAGTAATTTTTACAAATTTCCCATTACATGTTACATCTACACTTTTGATTTACAAAAACAACTAGCCAGCTTTTATTAACTACGTGCTATTTTCTACAGGAACAAGTTATCCTGAAAAAACAAAACAAAATACGTTACAAATGCCATTTTATACCCCAAACCTACTGAATCAGAAACTCTTGATAGAGACCCAGGAAACCAGAAGAGCTGGATGCTTATCAAACATCTGGGCTGATGTCTTGAACGTAGCAGGCATTACTTGGAAGCTACCTCTTGCTATTAGTGTATACATGTGTGGGGTGGTGTTTATGTGGGTGCATGTGTATATGTACATATGTGGAGGTGAGAAGTCAAACTCAGATGCACTTTCTCAGGAGTTGTCTACCTTCTGCCTTCTGACAGAGTATCTAATTTGACTTGGGCTCACCATTTAGGCTATTAGTTGATGAGCAAACTCTGGAGATCCTCCTGTCTATTTCTTTGAGATTAAAACACATGTGGCACCATGACTCACTTGGTTGGGGTAGTTAGAGAGATCAAATTCAGGTTCCCATGCCTACTCAGGAATTACCTTATGACTGCTATCTCCCCAGTCCTCTATCATTATTATTTTAATAAATAGTTTATCCTAGATCCTTAGAAGGTTTTCCCTAGTTTATTCTAGCTTCTTGGGAGAAATAGTTCTATGTGTTCAATTATTCACAGGATATAAGGATTTATTTACTATATTTAAATTCAAATCCATTGCCTTCTATCCAAAAGAGATCGCTTTCCCAAACTTATCTACTTATATTACTAGAAAAAGAATACATCTCTAAATCCCTGAGGATTCATCCAGGATCCGCCCTATTGAGAGATCACACTGGACCATTTCACAAACCCTCTTCTATCAGCTGCTTCGGGATGTGAAATTCTCCTGGTCAGACTCATTTTTTTGAGTCAAGAAAATGCCTCCAGTGCTAGGGAGATTATTCAGTGACTACTACCCAGGGAGAGCACCTTGGTTTAATCTCTAGGACCTACAGGATGGAAGAAGACAAGAGAATTCCACAAGTTGTCTTCTGTCCTACACAACAGTGGCATGGGAACCACAAGAAAGTATATGCTTATGTGTGTACACACACAGAAAGAAAGAAAGAAAGAAAGAAAGAAAGAAAGAAAGAAAGAAAGAAAGAAAGAAAGAAAGAGTGGCAAGAAAAAACTTTAAATAAATTGCTTCTAAAAACTGTTTTGTTAAAATTTGTATCAATGTTCCTAGGAAATGGCGGCTCAGCAGAAAAGTATTCCCTTTGTCCCAGTCCCTTGCTCCCACTCACGGATGCCCAGAGAGACAGGACTTTGTTTCCACATAGCACACCACAGAAAGAGTTTGCCATGTGCACTTTGTCCTAGAGAAGGAGAGGTAGAAAGAGTTGCCTATTCCATTGCTGAGTTTGCCCAGGTCCAACAACCCTTGAGCCCTACAAACTCTGGTAGGCCTTCTACCTGCAATCTCCGTCTGTCCTTGTACCTGCAACAATCTCTGTCTGTCCCCACAATCTTGGCTTGTTCTGGCTTTGAAAACCCTGTTTTCATCAGTTTACAGCTTTGTAATGTTTTCACCTCCTTACAGCTTTAAGGCAGAGGTTGTCCAATCAATGTCAGTCTCTTGGTGCTTGTTGAAATGCTCGCCTCCAGGCTGTTTCCTCAAAGTGTCTTGTTGAAATGCTTGCCCCCAGGCTCTGTTTCCTCAAAGCTCTCCTTAGCTGATGTGGGTGTCTGTGAATCTGACCTTTGATTGCCTTCACTCACCTACTGTTTCCTATCTTATACATGTACTGTGAGAAATGGTGTCTGTCTAGGTATTTAATCCCTTAGTGTTTTCTATTTCAAGTACTCTAAAACTTGTTTTACCTACCTGCTCCACCCTTATGTGGCAAAAATACAAATGTTGACAAATATGTGACTGAATCTGAACTAACAAGATGAAATTCTATGTGTTTATTTCAGGCCACTCTACGTTAAGCAAGATGGATAATAAGAATAAATAAATGTGTCTTAAAAATATTTTGTACTAACTAGTTTTGTGTCAACATAAACTAAAGCTATCTGAAAGGAGGAAACCTCAACTGAGAAAAATGCCTCCACAAGGTCCAGCTGTAGGGCATTTGTTAATTAGTGGTGGATGAGGGGAGTCCAACCGTTGTGGGGGGTACCATATCCTGCATTCTATAAGAAGGCAGGCTAGGCCAACTCTGGTTCTGGGCCTGAGTAGTAGCTGGGTTGGTCAGTCTGCCAACTGTCTCTCATCATCACTCTCAGGAAAAACTCTTCAGCACCGCCCTGACTAGCTCACCCAGTGCAGCAGGCAGACCAACCAACTGCTCTCACTCCCGGAGCCAGCTCGCCCACACCCACACCACCCTGGTCAGCTCAACTGATTTTCCCAGGTGAAGGACAAGGTCCCCTCTCTTGAGTTGCAGGGCTCACTCTCCCCAACATTGACCTCATCTATGAACCACTGGAGCATGTGAATGGACTAGACCTCCAGATCCAAAGATGCAGGATCTCCATGACACAAGGAAACAGCAGGATATTCAAGAAGAATCCCAGTGAGGGCCCAGTAACAGTGGTGTAGCAGATGTAAGCCAGATGCCTCTACCCAGATCAATGACTCATTGCCATGAACACATAACAAGTAAAGATGTGCAAACTATGTGATTCCCTGTGTCACAATACAGTTTCCACATCAAGACTTTTGTTTGTTTGTTTGGTTGGTTGGTTGGTAGATTGATTTGGTTTTATTTTTCTTTTCAATTTTATTTTATTTTGGAGGGGAGGGTGCAGGGGAAAAGGACAGGTATGAAATGAAAAAAAAGATGAATGGGATCAGAATTCATGATGTGAAATTTATAAAATTTATAAAATGGTTTTTAAATGAGAAAGAAAGAAAGAAAACAAAGAGAGAAACAAAGAAAGCAGGCAAGCAGGCTGAGCAAGCCATGGGGAGCAAGTCAGTAAACAGCTCCCCTCCATGTCCTCTACATCAGTTCCTGCCTCCAGGTTCCTGTCCTGTTTGAGTTCCTGTCCTGACTTTCTTCAGCGATGGACTATGGATGTGGAAGCGTACCACAAATGGACCTTTTCCTTCACAAGTTGCTGTGGCCACGGCGTGTCATCACAGCAAAAGTAACCCTAACTAAGATATATGTGTATCTTTTTCTCGGAGGAACAGCATAAGGGAAACCAGAATGAGGAAAGACGACAGTACGAAAGTCTGGCCCTTGAAACGTGAGCAGTTGTTGCACATTGAGGACCACGATTTCTCCACAAGGCCTGGATTTGGAGGTGAGTGTTTTCATCAAAAAACCCAGGCTAAGGTCTACTGCACTCTCAAGATGGGACTAAAAAAAATGACGCGATTAGTACCGAAGCATTAATCAATGCCTTCTTCTAAAGTCAGTAAGTAAATAAATAAGTAAATACTTTTAAATACCTGTTTGATTATCTTCCCTTGACTGGGAAAAGGTGACAACATATACATTTTATACTGACATTCAAACTCCTTTTTTCTATTTTTGACATCCTTGCCAATACAATGTGCTCAATATTTAGAAGACACATAAATTTGCAACATGGCAACTTGCTCTTTCTACTCTAAGCTGAATAAGACGGCATGACACTAATTTTTAGAATCTCACCAATTATCCCTACAAGCTAGAATGTCTGGCTTTAATGGTAGAACGATAGCAATATCCAATGCCACCACTTGCTCTGCTGAGTTTATTTTCCTCCTTTTAAATGCTTTTAGCAAATAAAACTTTTTTTAATATCTGGCACTGTTAAACCCTTTATTGTACTGTACCATTTACCTTCACAGTCATTACAAATAGGCACCATCATGAACCTTCGTATCCCAGCATAAAAACCCATGGTTAGGGAGGTTAGAAAGCATCCCAATACCAAGTAGTAAGTGGTTGAAGCAAGATGTCATGGCACGCGGGGATGGTAGAGCAGGGCCCCAGAAATGAGCTTTGTAGAGCTTAGGGTTCTTCCCTTACAGCTCTTCTACATGGTTTCATCACTGAGGGGGCCTCATTTTCCAGGGATGTACAAGGAGCTTGACATCTTTCAGATTAAATTTGTTTGAGTCTGCCTGGTTGGTTTTTGTTTGTTTGTTTGTTTGTTTTATGGAAACAAAATCTCACCTCTATAATTCTCAAATTGACAACTTTTCAAAATGTTGGAATATGCAAATAAGGGAAGGGTAGATGAAGGAGAAACAAGACCCTCTGACAATAAAGCAGCCCCAGAGCTTGAATGAACAACCAATGACCAGAGAGAAATGGGAGAAATATGATAATTCTTGCATATTATGCTCACAGCCAAGGAAAGCAGGCAGGCCTGTAGATGCCATGGAAAGTTGATGTGCTAATGGAAAAAAAAATTATCAAGCCACTGTTATTTGAAGGGCTGTTTTGGTTTGTTATGGCTTGATGTGATTTTTCTCTCTTTTTTTATGTGTCAGTATGTTCTATGTATAGGTATGTCCACACAGATGTGAGATCATATGTGCCAGTGTGAATTCACATGATTATGTATGCATTCCGAAGTCCAGAGCTGATTTGAGAACTTTTCCTTGACACATTATTCATTGAGGTAACACCTCTCAGTTGAATGCAGAGCTCATTGGTTTAGGTAGTGGCTAGGCAGCTCCCTTGGGGGATCCTGTGTCCCTACCTTCCCAGTGCTGAAATTGTAGATAGACTGCCATGCCCATCCAGCACTTATATGAGTGTTGGAGAGACAAACTTTGGTTATTACCCTTACACTTTACCTGATAGACAATCTCCCAACCACTGGTTTTCTTTGATAATTTTCCAGAAACCATTGAGTTGCTATTCTAAAGACCCGATTTAAACTCTATTTCATTAGTGATGTAGACTGTCCTGATCATGAGAACAGTGGGGAAGACTCTTATCATTCAGGGCCCTGGACCCCATCTCCAGCATTCCTGACTCACTAGATCTAGGTGAGGGAGACTGAGAGTTTGCACAACTGGCAGATGCTGCTGACACTGCATTGTCAATGATGCTGATGCTGTGGCTCTGAGAATCACACACTGAGAGCCACTGGGTTAGCATAACATCATCAGATTTAAGTATTGGTGAGTTTGCTACTTTTTGATTGCCGGAGTATTTATCACAGTTATTGAATTGCAATTTACAATCGTAGAAGCCTGGAAATTAATCAGGTTTAAAGATGCTCTTATTTAGTGCTGAGCACTCAACAGTTGCATATTCTCAGCACTCGGAGGAGTTATGAGGCTCTGAACTGACTGCTACCCACTGCCAAAAAAAGCTTCTATGACCAAGGCTGGGAGCAGCACTGGTACACACACTGGTCTATAGGTATAAATGCTTATGACCAGAAGGCAGTTTGACAATGCCTTCCCCTTCGACAGCCTAATGACATCCTCAGTGACTATTATCAGGTTTTCAGTGCTAGGAAACAATTTACTCCTGTGGATTATGCCCCAAATCTGATCAGAGAACATACCTGTACAAGTGTAGCACAGGATCAAACCAGTCAATTATTCCAGAATGGGTTGGAGAGGGCAACTTGTGGCTTTGTATCGAGTTGAGGAGCTATTGACAATTGATGTCTCCCTCAGGAGACAGCATCATTTTTTCCTGGAAGACGTGGCTACTGAAAGTCTGCCCATACTCATGATAGCACCACTAATTGGATTTGATTTTTCAAAGAGAAAAATAAGGAAGAGGACTTGGGGAGTGGTCAGGATTAACGGTGGGATCCAATGAGGGAATGTAGCATTGGTGTGGATATAATCACAATACAGTGTGTGTGTGTATGTGTGTGTGTGTGTGTGTGTTTGTGTGTGTGTGTGTGTAAAATTATCAAAAAATAAATAAAAATGCTAATTTAAAGTCAAAAAGTATTCATTTCACTGTCCTTCTGGAGCTCCCCCTTCTTCTTTCTCTACCTCACTATTTCGCTGACAATCTTTCAAAAGATTCCACAACTCTTTTAAATAAACTTGTGCTCATGCAGAAAAGAATTTTCCAAAGTTTGGATAATATAGTTTACAACTGTGGGGCAGGTGAGCGGTAGCAGTTTCCTCCATTCTGTGATTTTAAAAAATCAGGAAAAGAAGCTCGGCGTTGGATCCTTTGTGGCCACTAGGAGGCGCCAGTCGCACATGAATTGTTAGAAACTGGCCTCATCCATGAAAAAAGGATGAATCATGAATCTTTTCAATAGGAATTCGAGATTGTTTGGCTGATTTATCTGTTGTTTATTTATTCTATTTGTTTGTTTGTCTGTTTGTTTTGAGGCTATTGTAAATTGTACTGCTTTTACTGATTTCTTTAACAATATGTTTGTCATCTGTATGCAGGAGGGCTACTACTGGTTTTTGTGTGTTAATTTTGATAGCCTTGCTGGAAGTGCTTCCGCTGAAGGTGCTTTTCAGGTGGAGTCTTTAGGGAAGGGCGCATTGATGTCTCCCTTTCCTATTTGTATCCCCTTCACCTGCTTCAGTTGTCTTCCTGCTCTAGCAATGACTTCGAGTTATAATTCCTGAAGCTGGTTCCTCAATTAAGTTGTTCCCAGGAATAAAGGAAGAGGTGTTGTTGGTATTGTTGATGCTGTTGTTGTCGTTGTTTAATACAGTCTTTTATAGGAACATTAGCAATAAAGAGAGAAAAATGGCTATACCTACTAGTGGACCTCACAGCAAACAATCCACAGACACCTTATTGTTCAATATGTTTCAAGAATTAGCAGAAACACCAGAGAGTCCATCTAAATTCTGAAGTTCAGGCCCAAAGCCTGCATTGTAACTCTGCATGGTAACAGGATGCCCAAGTGAGTGACTATGGAGTCTGCAGAATGCCAAGGCTGCACCCTCCTTTCAAGGTAAAATATTTATACTTTCATCCTCCACCCTATACATCATTCTCACCTCCAGAAAAGCATAACACCGGCCCAACAGTCCCTTTTTGTCTGGTTGTTAGGAAATACATGATAATAGTTCTAAGTGATATGCTTTCTCAAATGTGAACGGAGACTGCTCTTTTGTTCCCAGATTCGAATACTCACACAGAAGCTATATTAATTACATCACTGCTTGGCCTGTTAACTCAGGCTTCTTATTAACTAATTCGTACATCTTATATTAACCCATTTCTATCAATCTGTGTATGGGCACGAGGCTGTGGCTTATGGGTAAAGGTCTGGCGTCTGTCTCCTTCCACAGCTACATAGCATCTGTCTGACTCTGCCTACTGTCTCTACATATCTCTTCCAGCTTGGCAATATTCTGCCCTGCTGTATGTTGAAGCAGCTTCTTTATTAACCAACAGTAATAAAACATATTCACAGCATACAGAGGGGAATCCTGCATCATCTTCCCTTTTCTATCTAAATATAAAGGAAGTTTTTAATTTTAACATAGTAAAATTACATATACAACACAGGTATCAAGCAAGAATTACAGTTACGATATTTCTTTTTAGTCTAAAGTTTCATATCTAATTTATTTTTATCATAACTAAGGAAAATTATAATTATTTGTCTTCAACTCCTCAAGATCCCAGAAGAATAAAATATTACCTAAATAAACGGGGAAGTACATTGTAAGTAACGTCCAAAGTTCTAGAACTGACAGAGACATCTTGCTGCCTGGACAGTCACCCAAATTTCTTCTGTAATGTTGGGGCATACATATTCATCTTATAGATCCATAGTATCTTGCAGACTTTTCAATGAAGCAGGAATTTAAAAGACTGTTTCGCCCATATTGGCAGTTTATCAGTCACTTTCTTCTGTCTCCTGCAGAATGTCTGGAAGACTCTTTCATGAAGTAGGAACCCTGAAGGACCATCTCACCTTCTTTAGATAACTTCATCACTCATTTTTCTATGGGTCCTGCCTGTCTAGTTTATACAGCATCCAATCAAGCAGTCCAGGCAAGAGCAGTTTGTTGCCCAAATGACTAGCAAACTCCATGAGGGTACTCTTTGATGACCATCATTCTCTTGAAGTAATTGGTGATGCCAGAAGCAGACATGTCTCACTGTTTAGAAAAGTCAAAATTCTTTTTTATTATTGATTTTCTTGAACTCTATATTTTTTCTCTGCTCCCCTCCCTCCCTCTCCCCTCCCCTTCAACCCTCTCCCATGGTCACCATGCTCTCAATGTACTCAGGAGATCTTGTCTTTTTCTATTTCTCATGTAAATTAGATCCATGTATGTCTCTCTTAGAGTCATCATTGTTATCTAGGTTCTCTGGATTGTGAATTATAAGCGGGTTTTCTTTGCTTTA